AACATTGGCATTGTCTCAGATACCTCCATTCCACACATGGTAGTTCCGTTGCCTGTAAAGCCCCATTGCTGTAACGATGTTTTTGTATCCATGATTTTATGAGCAAAATAAAATTTCCAATCCGTTTCCGGGGGGTGCCTGAGTCTGTCAGACATGAAGTAAAATCATCAAGGCTTCATACCTGTTGAGTCTGAAGCCACTCAAGTGCACGTCTTATCACGATAAACAGAGCACTTTGGTCCATGGTCCTCTCACGGTGACACCGTATGAAGTAAGTCGAGGAAGGAGGGTTTGAGAAATGCGATTGACAACACTGCAATTTGTACGTTACTGTTCACTAACAATTGTAAGCCGTGTATCGAAAGGCCTGAGGTAAACATACGTAGAACATGGATTCTCGGATGTGGCGACAAGTTATTACGCAAAACAGAATCGTAATATAAAGGATCAAACAATGCCTTATGCAAGCACCGAGAGAAAGTGTTTCCAGCTCCTGGTCATACATGATGAAGGACATGCGAATGTGGGTGTGTATTTATATCACTTGTGAGAGTAAAACCACAATGCACAGCACTGGATGTTCATCCAGGGACAACATCAGCATGCAGGTACATGTATGCCTTCTACAGTATAGTCAGTGTGATTTGCTGACCTACAAAAATCTAGACGTGGTAATAAAGCCACCATCGTAGGCCGAGACTAGCATTTTCAATTGGATCATCTAATACTGGGAGAGGTGGTTTTGTTCGACTCTAAATGCCATTGGTTATTATTGGCTGGTATAAACCCTAGGTCATGTTTATAAGATCCCTGGAATATATTTTCCAGACTTTAATTTGGTGGCCCCTTTCCTGTCTTTGACAGTTACTTAACAGTAGAACGGTATTCATTCGCCCCAAGTCACTTTCCGTTTATTCGGGGAATGGGAAGCAAAAGTTTTCCGGCAAAGCACTCTAGTGAAGCAGAAGATCTATGAAAATGCGCCGGTCTAGATTTTACTTCGGAAAGTGACGCCACTTTGCTATGGGAAGTTCTTTACATAGTAATAATATGAAATAAGAATCACCTTTTTCTTTGATCCTTCGACATTTGGAGGATACCAGGTCTTGACTGGGTTTCTTTTTTCTTTGGAGACCACCTCATGATAATGAAGAGGATAATACCTTGACTTCCATACCAAACATCGTGTTAAATAGCACCTTTGAACTTCGCAATCGTCCTTTTTTGGACTATATATTCCTTTATCAATAGTACCCGAGTCTTCTTAGGCGGCTGCCAATGTCTTGCAGTGACACTTGATACCATTTTTCCAAATCCACAGGCATCTCATATCCCAAAACGTTTGCGAGATTTTGCCTTCTTCCGTACTCGTGCAGATATCTTGAATGTAGGCGCTGGTAACATAGAGCCTGTTTTTGATCGAGGTCTTTTGTCGGTTGGTTCAAGACAATCGGATCATCGATGCTCAGAGGAACGAATTTTGGAATGCCATACTTCGCCCAAACTCGTGAGATACCACTCTCGCGAACCGCAAGATCGGCCGGGAATGCATCTATCGTGTTACCGTGGTCATCCTGGGCTTGGTGCCTAGCACTAAGATCTTGGAGAACAAAAGCATCAACCACCACATCATCAAGGCCCTTGCTTTGGACATCTTCCAAGATTGTAGTTCCATTGTCAGGAAACCAAATGCGCACGGTCTGTTCAGTTAGCGAGTATTGTAAACATGGAAGAGAGAAATTCCTACGTGCAAGCGTTGTAGTACTGCGCCTTGTGCAGAAACACCAGAGCTCGACGGTGCACTCAAGATAGACTCTTCTCTCGACATCATAGGAATATCTGACTTGGTAGAACCGAATGTCGAGCTTCTTTGAGGGTCTGGTCCTTCAAATAAAACAGTCTCACGCGGGGCTTTTGGGGAGAGGATGCGCGGTATGAAAGTTGAAAGCAGCGAACGAAGCCTTGATATGCTCAAACGGGTCATAATCTCACATCTGGTGGAACCTTGATGAAAAATGCAATGTTTGATTGAGTCTGAGGAACAGACTTTATAATACAATCAGCAATGTAGGCTCGTGCTTCCTTGGTGGAGGTTTGAATCGGGGTGGTAGTGCAAGAGATACTAAATTCGGCTTGTTTTGGATTGACACCGGAATAGTAGCTGGACCTTTATAAAATGAGCCACAGCACAGATATTCCACGAGAAAATAACGAGTAGCTTCGAATCATTGTGCAAAAACAGACTTTTCATCACCTAGTATACTTTGACACCATGCAAGATCCCATGGTTCTTTCCGGACCGTCACTGATCCGTGAAGATGGCTACCAATTCGAACCGACCTCGACATGCGTCTGCCTATATTGCTGAACTCACCCTCTGCCAGGTAAATAGGAGGTCACCTACGATATATCAGAATAACCATTACGCCTTGAGTCTGTTCTCCGATATTATTTCTCTTATCACCCGGATTGATGTGATTCGGCTCTCTCTGGTTACTTTGCGTCTCAGTAGTATTGGCTGCCAGATAATTGTTTGTATCAGAATTGCGATGCGCCCTACATAGGAAAAAACTGTCTCAAAGTTTCTTGGTCGTTGTATACCCCAAAAATTGCCAACACAATGTGACCTCAAGAGTTCCATCTTAAATGACTCGCCCGGAGATGATTCTGCGCTATTAACCCATTGACAAAGCGTATGTCATATCAAACTGAGAATTATTCAGCCGCATAACAAGTCCTCTGTGATGTCGAGGATGCTTTTCCGTCGTATGAAGGTGAATCACGGATTTGAGCTTCTGTGGCCCAACAGTAATCAACATGCTCATCTTCCCTTAATCCTATGGGTCCTTCATCTGTACCGACGGGCTGCTGCTGTCTGTCGCACCATGTTCGATCGAGCTTGAGTTGCTCACGAACTTCCAGAGAGAAAGTGTGTCTGACCATCGGGACTTCCTTATGTATCCACGAATTCCTGTAGACCTAACGAGAAACGTGCGAGACGTGCAATTTAACTTCTTCTTCCGTCTCACGTTTCGCGGTAATCAGAATAGTTTTATCGAATATCTCTGAAGATCCCCCAGGTGGCTCCCAGGAGAAGGCCCATGAGTTCTCCTTGTCGTTGCCGTTCTCTTCTTTGCCGAGAAAAGCCCTTTAACAGAGAAGCACTTATGCAATAAGTGGTTCGTAGGGGTCAAAAGGAATAACAAGAGTATTGGCAGAAACACGCTCAATGTCAGGTTGTTTTTCCTGCACATCGACCAGGCGATATCGATCTCGTCCACTGGAATTATGGAATAAGCTTGGAAAAGGAGAAAATACCGTTGTATGCTCCTCGCAGATTGCGGCGGCGCACAAATGGTAACTAAGCTTTTCACTCCGACTGATCATCACGTTGAGTGATGTACCAAGGACAAAACGCAAGTAGCTTTTGTCACTCTAGTTTTTTGCCGCCTTCATGGTTAGATTACATGCATACTTAAGTGGTACAGACGCGCTCGGAATCAGTTTCACTATTTTGTTCTCCTTGATTGCTTTCCAGCTACTATTTTTATCGACACTAAGCCTGATCTAGCTAGTCTATATTCGTTGCCCTCTTCCTATTGGACAGTAATGACCGGGCTACGCCAGATGTAGGCTGAGGTGGGTCTAGCCAAGACTTGAGAAAGAACCGAAGAGAATAAAATGATGAAACTAATTTCGAGCGCACCTGTACTGCTGGAAATTTGTTACGAAGAATTGGGCTCCTGTAACCTGGTCTGTTGGGGCAGCGTAAAAGGGAACTGTCTTATTACAGTAATGACTGGAGCAAGGAATCTGTCGATGCGCTGACGGATACCTTCCATAGTTCGTAGCCACCTATTAGAGTTGCCCATAGAAGAATCCATTGTCGTTGCACTCAACTTGCTTGATCGGGAAAATAACCCGACGCCATTCCAAGTCAGTGCTGTCTTGTCCGCGAGTATCGAAATCTCGTTTGCCCGAAAGTTTTCCCACTTGGAATATACCGGTGCCTCGCGGTAATGGTCTCATAGTGTCGAGCGCCTGCTTGGCCGTATCTTACATTATGGTGACCTTTGGGCTTTGGGCGATCGGTGCACCGGTCCCCAGAACGATCCCTACTGATGCCCTGGGGTAAGGTAATTAAAAACCCAATTCGTGTTAGACAAAAATGGGGGCGCCTCGTGTCCCAGACACGGACGAACTGATATGTGTAGGAGGATGAAGGCGCTTCAACAAGTCGATAGCTCCTGGAACGCAGTTAGCTCGGTGGTCCATCAAGTAATTGTGGCCCCCCAACCAGTGGAGAGCTGCACGCCTAGTTAGCTCCGGAAAAAGGGTACATATCGGTTCGGCAAGAATGATTTACCCAACACGCTTCGAAATCAACTCACAGTTATGTTAAATTCTTTTGCTGTAAGCTAGTACACTTGCATTAAAATTGCACGGGCCCTTTCCGATGAAACATTACTGCGTGCGGGGTTTGTTGGAATACTAGGCTGGAACCGGCATAAACTGTTGCTCTTTGGCCAGAAAGCAACAGATTATACCCCTTTCAGGCTAGCGTGACTCACACGCGGCCTTCTATTTTTTATTTGAGATCGAACACTGGCCTCACTAGCTCTCACCATATGCTCTTTTGGACATCCCATAGGCTGTGCCCTTGGCGAGCGGTTTCGAAGGGTCCCGCCCGCCCATGCATGAATGGGCCGTGGCGAGGTCTATCCGCCACATCATACGAGAAGCGGTGTAGTCTTGCACCAGGGTGGTAGAATTTACAACCAAGAGATCGCAGGGCGCTTTTACACACAGCCACTTTCAATCATTGCTGGGATGATTTGGTGGCAGTAAAGCACATAGCCGGTTGCCTACGCCTCTCCGACTCGCCTCAGACCTGGTCAGATTTTCACATATCAATTCTTTACTCCGGCGCGCTCGTGTCAATCTTGCCCCGTCTTCCTCTACAAGCTCTTCGCGCCTAGATTTGGTTCCCGCTATTCTAAATGGAATCCATAGATGGCGAGCTTCAGGGTCTTCTTTCCCAGCTAGCCAAGTGGTACATGTTGGAAGGAAACCGAGAAAAGCTAACAGACCAGAGTCTGAGGGCTTGCTCTGATATGCTTGGTGATTCAGAATTGCTTGCCTTGCAGAAATTTATCAATTTCCTGTGCCGTGTGCGAACCCTCTCCCATCAACCAACCGATGCATACCGACCGAGAAGCCCAGCAACACCCATACCGCGCCATAGTAACCCATTCACGCCAGAATCATCAACACATCATCTAGAGATCGAAGATGAGGCTGCCCAGAGGCAAAGAGCTTCCCGGCAAGTCTTTTTGGCATCTGAAATCCATTCAAATCCTCAGGGTCAGCAGGATCAGAGCCGGTACATGGGGTACGTCGAAGAGATTGAGGACGATAATGCACGGGCGTATAACGAATCTAAGAAAAGAGCGCCTTCGTTGGAAGCACTCCCAAACACCGCTGCCATTAATCGGAACCTCGATGGAATTATTCATACTGATGCCCGGGAACTTGGCATCGCTCCGGGCATCTCATCTACATTGGACCAAAGCCAAGCGAGCTCTCTGACCACGGATCCCAATCCTGAAGTTGAATCCAATACCGAATCGATCGATGGTAGTGACCGGGCAAATAGCCTGCCTGGAGGCACGCCAGAGCCATTGAGCCAAACGCCAACAAGTTCTCTGGCCACGGATCCAAATAGCCACACAGAAGAATCCCCAGTCAGATATTCTTCTGAAGAAAACATCAACTCCGCTGGCGATGCTGGATCTTCAAGCTTTAACAGTTTACTTGAAAGTCCTTGTGAAAGTAGAATTCCAAGGTCGGAGGATTCCTTCCGGGCTGGGTTTACTCAATTCCCAGCAGCGTTTTCTGTCAACCAGCTTGCTAGTCCAGCCATCTTGCATTTAGACACGCCCCTGCCAAAGGGTCCAACAGCTTTGGTGTCTCTTGCACAGGTCGATATTTCTCGCCTGGTGCTTCAAAAGCACGATACAGGGTACTTTGTCACCACGGAATTGGGGTTTGGAATTAACGCAATGAAGGAAGATATCCTTCAATCCCTCGAGGGACAGTCATTAGGGCCTTGTGAGATAGAAATCCCGCACCCGCTCTATGACGCGCTTCAAAAGTGCAGGGAAGATCCCGATTATTTTCTTCGCCAGGTTGGTGTCGCCAACTCTCACAAAGACAGCGCGAAAGGGGCGGTTGCCAGGATATTTGAAAAGTCATTCCAGATCACAAGGAGTGCGCAACTCATGCCTCTCTATGAACGCCTAACACTATATGCCCTTTATAACTTAGTTGTGAAAAAGGATATCACGATGGCGAACATTTCAGATTCGGCCAACTTGCGCGTCTTGTTCAAGATATCAAATCCGAACTCTCGGATGACGATAATCTTGAAGTTGGGAAATTGCGGGGTGCTATTCAACGGCTTGTGTTGGAAGGCAAGGAGCTCAGTCGCATAATAAGGTGCCACTTCAACAACAATCCTGGATATCTTATGGCACTCCCCGTTAGTTTAACGGCGAATAAGTGAGTTTCGAACCATCCTACTCTAGGCATAGCATACTGATATTCACAGATGTCGACGCTCACCGAAACCGGTAGTTGACGCATTTGTAGGTCGAATGCAACTACTCGGTATTGACGCTGTAGTCCAAATACTGGGCCTCTCAAAACTTGCATGCCATATCATGCTGAGCCTCGAGAAGGAGGAAAGCATTGAGATTATGGCCCAGTCTGAATCTGTCTCCAAAAAGCGCAAACAGGGAAATTGTAGTGATATCGATCCTTTTCCATGAATTGACTAACGCAGTATAGATGCACAGTGGCCCTGCAAACGATCAACCACAACTGGAGATGAATCACGCAATGCCCTCCCAGAATGTTAGTTCGTCCTTCTCCGAGACCCAAATCCTGCTGACGAATCAGATAATTTTTCCCACGAGACGGCGACCACTACAGAAGGTCAAGCAGTCTTGCCGCCAAATCTGTTGTATGACAGAACTTTGTGTTCGCAAACTTCTGCCAACACAACCTTAGGCAATGAGGCAATGTCGATTCAAAACCTGCTGACAAGCAACCTAGATGACCCTCCAATCTGCATGTCCCTCGAGAACAATCCAGACACTTTTGTACCTAGTTCTTATGGCCTGTTTCTGCCATTTGAGTTCCAGGAATTTCCAGATTTCTTTCCGTCACAGGTATTTGACTGGGAGCAATGGTTCAATGGAATGTCTGCAGGTACATCGTTTGCAGAGGAGAGCCAGCAAGGAATGACTAATAGCAGCGGCAAAGGCTGCAGCTCTAAATTGCTAGAGGCTCGTGAACAGAACTTCGACGAGGACGAAAGTATCAGCACGGCTAACGCCTAACGCCTAACTAAACGGGCCAACTATTTCACTGGCAGCCCAGGGAGAAAAGAAAAACGCCATGTATTAGCAAGTGATACGCCTAAAATGCTTCCGGTGCTGAACAAATGTGTTGCGGCGGAATATACACCGCTCACATGATAGTCGTAGTTGCCTCGGTTCTCTTTTCGCCAACAGCGATAATAACGTCGACTCCGCACGATTGTCGTGGAACCAAGGCTCGTTTATCACTGATAAACCAGTATGTACCAGATTCTAGAGGGGCCCCTGGCCTAATATCCGAAAGACCGCGTAGAGGAAATATCAGGAGGCGTTCGGAGGGATTATCGAGCGTCCTGCCGATATTGAAGTGGAAAACGAAACATTTTTCAACCTACTCCGTAAGCAATCGCCAGGTAGAAGAAAAGCCGGGACTTACTTTAAACTCTTTTCGTTCTATTTCTGCCTTCAAGTCCTCAATGAATATTTGCATTTCAACCCCCACGCCTTGCCACCCATACGCATTCGGTTCGTAAGGGAGGATCTTGCCGTCTAGTAGGAGTTGCCGTACAGCAGAGACAATAGGCTGCGCATTTTCCCATAGCGGTTTGCTCGTCATCATGGAACACTTTGTCGGTGATTTTGATCAATCCTGTATAAGCAAAACGCGCCCTCGAATACCGAATTTTGAAAAACGGAGAGTTGTGAGGGGTAGTGGGGTTTGTATCCTAAAATCTCGAAGTGACTGTAACGGATATATGGTTGTTCCTGGTGGTATAAATTACGGCCAATCCTGATTGGGCAGTGCCACCAGTCCCGTACTATATTCCTGAGGCATCAGGTATTTGTCAAATCTCACCACGTATCGGCCAATTGGAGATCTCGGTGACCTTGTGTTGTATTAATCCTTATTTCTCGTTATATATGGGTCCACTCTAATGGCATAAAGTATGCCTCAGATCAGCTGTGAATTCGCTCTCATGCAGTGTTAATAAGGTAATGCCGATAGCGTAAGGACCCCTGGATGTGCCTAGATCCAGAGATAGCGTGGCAGTTCGCCTGTGCGATCATATTCTGAGATTCGCACCACAAAAAGCTATGGTACATCAGTGTGGGACTCAAATCTGAAGTAGTGCCATGCGGATTATGACTCTGAGGAAACAGTGATCAAGGACAAAACAAGAGAATCTTCTAGCGAATCAAGTTGTGAACGAAGCTGGGAAGAACCACAATTCAGAACAATATGTCAGGACGAGCAAATGATGTAATATTGGAGCAGTGTGTCGAGTGGCTTGATGTAAAAGACATGTGATGATTGACGATGTGCTCTGTGTAACTATCCATCAACCTTGGTGGTCGTGAAGAATTCAAAAGCCGACCCGAGAATAATGTGAGCTGCCCAGGGATCACATAGCCCATAAAATCGTATGTAACTTGTAAACTCTTCATTCTCACTATGTATCAAAAGATCAGTCACGTTTTTTTGACAGCTCTATCAGCCCTGGGAACGCACATCTTAGCTCTGGGAGATATCTTGCTCCCGGAGGCTTTGAAAGGGTTTCTGGGAGCATACAAGCAGGTTCTAGGAGCCACGTAGCCCCCAGGAAGCCCAACGGAGCTTATGGGATCTTGTGCCCCCACCTCGAGGAACCAAAGTCATGTTCCTGTGGATAGTTTCATCAACTCCTGGAACCTCAAGTGCGGTTCCTGGAGCTATGTCTTGCCTTTCCGGGAGTGATTGAATGACGCAGATTCATGCGCAGGTCTGGTGAAGGTGTCTTGTGAGGGCTTTCCGAGACCTCAGAAGGTAGAATATTGACTCTAGGATCCGGAATCAGAGTCCTAAGAGTGCAACAGCTCTCACATCTGGCCAATCTGTTTCCAAAGCCAGTTGGTAATCGGTAAGGGTCGTAGAGTAGAGATCCCAGGGGTAGAACTCAGTTTCCTAGAAACAGGAAATCCACTGGTCATCTCAGGGTCAACGGAAGTGTCTCTGGGATCGGTATTCCCCTCAGTTTTCCAAACTAATGTGATCCACATCTCTTTTTGCTGTACTCATAGTAGCCCTGGGAGCTCTATTCGATCCTAGAGGCACTTTGCTCGAGCCTGGGAACCCACAGTTTACCTCTAGGAAGGGCTTGAGGTTCCAGGAGCAGCGAAGTTCCCAGAGCTCGCCTATACGTCCTTGGAGTTGAAAGGGTCTGTGTATGAAACTGCCTATCAACCAATTTCTTGATTCATCCTTGAAAGAAGTTGATCACAGAGACTGCCCCATTGGCTCTAGGGCATCCACGAATTCATTCTGGGGTACGCGCTCACCTAACTATCCTGAACAGACTCGAACTGATTATTTCGTGACTAATCGAGCCTTGATTTCTGCACAAAGTGCGACCTCTCACCATAAGGGGCTTAGCTCCATTCGAGGTTTCCAAGGCTAAAATGGGGTGAAAAGAGCCATATTTGGACGGACCCACACTTAAGAGGTTCGACTTCGAAGTGTGGGTCCATTTTCGGATCACTGGCTAGCTCATTCGTACATTATTGCACCCATGCCGCGATAAGCAGCTAGACCTCCGCAAAGCCCATAAATGGGCCCCCATAAAAACCCATGCAGGCGCTGCTCTGCAATCGTTGTATTACGACCTTCCACCGATCGCATGAAGTTCAAATTTCACATTTAGAATAAAGGGAATACTATGAGTTCGCATGTTGATTTTGAACAAAATTCGATCGGTGGGGGTCGAGATATAACCGAAAAGGTGAATGTTGATGTTTTGATGTTGGATATATATCTGAGTTTAGGGAAACACCACCACTTTCTAGTGAACCCCTGTAATTTCGAAAATTTCTTAATTAACGCATTTTCTCGTGTCGTTTTACGTGAACTAGAGGTGATAGTAGTGATTAATTTTGAAACATTGAATCTAATAAAATATTACCTTAGGGATCAGGGCAAGAAACGGACGTTAAACAGAGGTAATTTAGTTAATCTGTCGAACTGAGGGGTGGTATTTTACTACCAAGGACAGGGTTATTCATCAAGTACCCATTCTCTCTTTATCTCTGTATGGTAAACGGGCCACGCTCGGCATACCAGCGTCGTAACACGCTAAGAACGACTTCTGAGATCTGATAACGCTTCAACAGCAAGATCCAGATAGAACAATCTGACGAACTGAGAGAGTGGTCAAATACCACTAGGACCCTTTGGGACAGGCTTATTCATCGTTCACCCATTTCCCCTAGTATTTGTACGGTATTCCGGGCACATTCGGAAGTACGGTGTTGTAACAACGCCGAAGCTTATTTGTAAAGACCCCCTGAGATCGTTCAACCGATCTTTAACACCTACAATCGTTCACCTGATTCTATTGGACATGTTCAGTACCAGCCAGTACATCAATTCCTCATCCTGACACAATCAATACATTTCAATGGGACACCTCAATACTAGCACATACCAGTATCCGTCAATCCGACATAATCCCAAAGGGGGTTCAACTTATACTGGCATCCAAATTCTCGGCATGTTTGTATTGTTTGGGGCCCATTTGCTCCCATTAACCCGCAGTGGGCTCGAGGTATAAACTCATAGCCCATCGATTGGCCTAAGGACCGGGTCCAAAACTCAATCCATTTGCGGGTTGGGTTGGGCTGGGCTTTGGGCTTTAACTATGGGCTCTGCGGAGGTCTATAAGCAGCTGAAAAATGAAACGTCAGTGCGAGAAACGCCAAACCCCCCTCATTTTTGCTGTATAGAGTACGGAAAAACACCTGATTCCTTCGTAGCTAGGAAGTACTACGTATTTGCATACTATGTGTGCCACTCAGGGGCTCCCCGCTAGCGCCGTGAGTAGTCGCCTGTTGTTGATCATTCAAAGGGCGCGTAGTCCAGGAGCTTCGATTCGTTGGTCGGCGCCATTGCAATAGCGGCACAGGTCGACATGATGGAGTTGGCGAAAGATCGCTTCCGCGATACTACTTAGAAATGGGGCACACCCAATATTAGAGCGCCTGGTGGTATTTCAGTGCTCTTTAGCCCGACCAACAGCGGATAGTGCTTCACTCTCACTGGTGCAATTACAAGTCGTATATCCTCTATTGTTTTACAACTACTGATGCAACAGCTTTGTGCATTTCTCTTGTTTCAAGATTTCCAAAGTCATTTCCTTATTTTTTAAAATTTTTGAGTGCTCATCGAGCATAACACGACTTTTAATCGTAAAATAATAGGAAGCCATGGATATAAATACCAGACCTTCTCGCCAGATTTTTTTCAGAATAATCAATCCTGTTGATACTTGGTTTCACACAGCAGTCTCCAGTTTCTACAATTCGGTATGTCGACTCATCCCTTTGACGGTCGAGACTACGCTGACAATCTAGTACCAGAACCAAGGACAATCAGAGCACCGATTTGCTACACAAGAAATAGCAAAAATGTCCAAGGCCTTGACAGAGTTTTCTCAACTGGCGCAGAATGTCAAAAATGCGCCGTCTAAATTTACAGGCGCCGCCGCCGAAGGCAGCCGCCTCATCCCGTCAAGAACCAAGGACGCGCTATTTCAATTCCGCGTCGACGCGGGTCGCTACAACGACAAAACGAAACATCTCAATGTGAACCTGCAGGTCAATTCCCAAGCCAAGAGCCCTGCGCTGAAAGACTGGGTTAAAAAAATACAACTCATGGAAAACTTGCGACTGCGACTTTCGATACCACGGCCGAGGACAAGGATGCGGAATATACTCGGGTGTTGAACGAACTGGTGAAATTGGGCAAAGAGAAGCTTGGATAAATGCTTTAGAGACCAACCAATCTCATCACTTTGGATATAGGGAATTTGCAAGGCTGAAGTGTGGAATATAGATAGCAGGGATTGAGGGGAGCACAGGGGTAGGGGAGACATGGAAAGGCCTTAAGTGAGACTATGCAATTGATATCTTTCTACGTCTGGTAAATTATACTTATTGATACCTGTCTTTTACTCATCGTCTTGTTTTAGTACTGCACATGTATAGGGTACCTACAATATTATAGTGTAGTGAGTGGGGAGAGGCTGTTGTTTTCCAGCCCCAGAGGGCCCCAGGCCCCGGGGCCCCCACTGCTGCTTATATCAGCCGGCGAAGAATTCATCCATGGATGTTTGTGACTCATGTCTACAGAAGCGCTGTTGTAAGATCCTTACTTCCTCTCTTGCACGAGGAGCATGATTTCGGGGGCTGGGTTTGCCTGCGGAATCGGCCCATGTGCCTAGACTGCACTGCCTTCGAGCGTTTCCCTCTTCGTTGAATATTCGAAAGCATATTTACCTGGGTAATACTCAATGTAATCAACTACTTTTCACTAGCTAGCAGTTAGCCGCCGGAGATGACGTATTCGGCACGGTGTCCAGTCTTGGCAAACTCCAAGCCAGTGGGCCGACCCCTTCCAAGTGATACAAAAACATCCCTAAACACCCTCCCAGCTTTTCGCACAATGCGCCGCACCAGAGCATTCCATATATCGCAAGTGCCTTTCTTCTTCACATATCACTCTCACCGATCTCATTATATTCGGCCTTCCCTCATCCGCGATACCACATCTCAATCCTCCTTCTCCAAGCGCAATCGCGCACAGCCAATCTCAGGGTTTTCAATGAACCAGGCAACGGTGCATGGTAAGCTTGGTTTTGTCAGGTGATTTATATTAATTCTAATAAACTACAGGGGTTGACCCTCACTCATACACAAGCGGTCGATGGCTTCGGAACGACAAACATCAACGCCAGCTACGCCGGATTGACCTTAACTTTGACGAGCTCTGTCGGAAGGTAGTCGGCCTTTACCATGGGGCAAAACACATCAAAAGCTGTGAGAAGAAGGAAGGTGGTTTCAACAGGGTGTTCATTTTCACCATGGACGATAGTTCCCGCGTCGTGGCGCGGCTACCCTTCACATCAGCTGGCCCCGCAAAATTTGTGACGGCTTCTGAAGTGGCAACGATCCAATACTGTGCGTGAAACAACCATCTGCGAGGGACCAGCTCTTGTGCTAATTATCTGTGCCACGCAGTACAAAGAAACACCAGCATTCCGATCCCTGAAATTCTTGATTGGAGCGACGACGCGACGAATATCGTCGGAAGCGAATACATCATCATGGAACATGCGGCTGGCATTCAGCTACAGCAGAAGTGGCCCTACATGTCGGGTGATCAGAAAGTCGCATGCATAGACGCCATTTACAAAAAGCTCAGAGACATGGTTGATCTCAACTTTTCGGCCTATGGAAGCTTGTATTTTTCCACCACACCATTGGGCTCTTCCTCTAGGCTACCGCTAGACGGCGACTTCTGCCTCGGGCCCCACTGTGGAACAAGGTATTGGGCTTGTGGCGACCCCAGGTACTACCAACATACAGCTCCCAATCAAGGTCCATGTGAGTTCGCTTTAACCTTCATTCCTGGAATTAGGGTCTAAGTTTTGGGAATACAGGGTCGACGATAGCTGCATATTCCGATGGCCTTGTCGACGCAGGTCTTTCAAGGATCCCACCGAGGGACTCTCAGCTCCCCAATCGACCAATCTATCAAGGCTCGGTCCAGGAACATTTAGCTCTTCTGGGATGTGGTCGTGCGGTGCTAAATGCAATGTCCGCGGATAGTCGGGTCCGTGATGCAGCTGTGCCGGCCTTATTTCATCCCGACCTACACAAAAGGAACATATTTGTTTCGCATGATGATCCTTCGGTCATAACTGGTTTTATTGATTGGCAGTCATCCAGCATAGAACCGGCGTTCTGGTATGCAGATGAGGTTCCGGACTTCGCAACCGGTGTAGCTTCCTCCACAAGTGCAGAAGGGGCAGGTGACAGCGAGCTATGCACAAAAACCTACGAAGTCTGTACCCGGTTTCTCACTCCAAAGCTCGCACTCCCTAGGTCGATGGATGAGGGCATACTTCGACCCTTTCAGTACTGCTACAGAACGTGGAAAGATGGCGCCGTTGCGTTTCGGCATGAGCTCATTGAAACCTCTCAAGACTGGGAAGCACTCGGATTGCCCGGTTCGTGTCCATTTGTTTTACCGACACCAGAAGAGATGTCTCTGCACCGAAAGGAGTACAAATGTTTTGAGGCAGCCCAGAATCTGAAGCGTGATTTGTCAAGCCTGCTTGACACTGCATCTGATGGATGGGTTCCTCTGGACGACTGGGAAGCGGCAAAAGCAGGAAACAAAGCAATGTTCAATGGAATGTTGGAAGCCGTACTGACAAATAATGATCCGGATGAGGATGATCCTATTAGGGATGAAAGAGACCTGCGAGATATTTGGCCCTTCGATCTGCCGGAGTAATTAGTCGTTTTTCGTGGATCCAAGTCTTCCATTGGTTGCAACTTCGTGTTAGCTAGAGTTAACCGAATCAGACGCCAAATCCTATAGCATAGCCACTAGCTGCAACCACGTGTAGTGCCAATAGGTTTTCAGCTCTTGCTGAACATATTAACTACTACTATTTATTGTATTCATAAAATCCACATTGGCCACGAAATACAACGCCTAGTCGGACAAAATGTGGTATTTCCCAACGTGGTGACGGCGATACTGCCCTGAGGTCAATGCGCGGCTAACCTCACCTCATCCAGAAAGGCGTCCACAATGCGAGCCTGGTCCTACTCCGGCACAACAAACAGACAAAAAAAACCTCACCTTCAACACTTCAGCGCGCACCCCAACAGTATCAGGCCGATTCAGGCGATGACATCCTAATCAAAGTCCTCTCCGCCTCGCTGAACCCAGCAGACTACAAAGTACCCGAGATGGGTCTTGTCGCCTAAAAGCTCGTGATCGGCACCCTAGGCATGATTTCTGCGGCGAAGTCATCACCGGCAATATCAACCGACAGCGCACATGACTGGAAACTTACTCAGTCTGTGATATGATTGGTTCCCCAATAATTAGTTCCAAATCGGATGAAGCTTTTCCACGCTGGTGATCTTAGCCCCCAATAGCTTTGCCGCTGCTGCCCAATGTCTACTTCGAAGGTCATTTACCTGGAAGTAGTGATATCATTCCATATCAACAGCTAACCACCTATATGTCATTCGGGTAATCATTTTGCAATGACATTTGGCATTCAAGGAACTATTCCAAGTGGAGAAAGGAGTCTCAGATATTGGATCCTTAGCGCTTCCTTATCTCCGGCTAACACCGAACAACTTGAACATTAATGTTCTCACGAATTGATTAATTGTCGGATCATGTCCATCGTAGGAAAGACCACGAGTTTTGGATGTTGGCATCTGCGCCCCTTGAGAGAACGGTCGTAAGTCTATTGGAGAATGTCGTGGTCTGTCGCGGGATGCAAAGCATCGGCCGATTTGAGGCAGGCCACCCTTGAAAAGAAGATAAGGCAAGGCCATGGTATTAACCAAAAGACAAGAGTAACTTAGGCAGGCATGGCTGGTTCACTGTTTCTCTGAAATAATCGCTAGTAGACTTTTGGGGTGGTGGCACCATGGCATGGTGTTAAGGGATGCACGGACATCAGAGCAGGTGGAGACAAATAAGCCAATAACATCTAATAAACACCATCCATCCCAACTGGTGATCAATTAAATAGTTGATGATACGTCCTTTTTACTCACTGTTTATCGACTTCGTCGCGTGAAATGGTCAACACACGTCGAGGATCAATCAGTTCACCCGATTTCCACAATGACATTTCTTTCAGGGCATCCGTTTCCTCATTCTACTATCCACGAGAGCCCAAACACGTTGAATCTGTTGTAGTTCAGAGGTATTTATTGACTTGTTATTTCAGAGGGATACACGAGCCTATATATACAACAATGAGCCAAGTTGATTGGAAATCAACTTGGTCGTCGGTATAGATACTTCGGAGCTAATTTCGACGGTGCGGCTTGGTTCCTGATCTACACCAGCTTCATATCACAACAGATCCCACTGACCGTTGAGGCGGCTGACTCTGAAGAGGCTCGTTTGGTGCTGGATACCTGAATCACCTGACGGTGATAAGCGTTCTATCGGTTGATTATTCGCTTGCCAAGTGGACGGGATGTGTCTCGGCATCCGCCGAGGGAGACTCGGAGTGGACGAATCAACACTTTACAGTGAGCATAAATTGAATCGGAAGCTATTCCATGCCCTGTTTTTGTATATTCTCATTTTGAGTAATAGAAGATCCTTTCAAGTGGTAACTCTCTTTGATTTGGCAAGTCAACTGTAGTATTCTATGTTAACAGAATAGGGCATGTCACCCCTGAGGGATAGTCCTTCACGTTCCTTTAGCATTTTCCGGTAACTCTGCCAGATTGAGCCCGGAGGGGTGATTCCAGTCATCGAGTACGCTAACCAGTCGTTCCCGGGATACTTCCAATGCCTGCTCAAAAAAGCGCAGCCGGGATAGCTGTTTGTCGTGGCGAACCTGGAGACCATCTCTTTTCTTTCTCAGGTGCGTACCGGCCTCCTTCAAGACCATGTTTTCCTGCTCTAGCTTCTGGCCATCAATGTGCTTGGACACACATGACTCCCATAGGCGTCGATAGAGTCCGACAAGTCGAGCTGCTGGAAGGCGAACTTGGGATCGTCGCGCTCGAGGTCTGCTAGAACCTTCAAGATGAGTTGAAACGGCTCGGTCGCCAGGGTGTGTCTTGTTTCTGCTTTCTGTTGCGAAGTGGAGGGCTGCAATGGTCAGCAAAAGCGTTTGAAGCCGAATCATTTCACTTACCAATGGGGCATGGCCAGAACTTTCCTTTGATTTGTCTTTCTCATCAAGGATGGGCAATTCACTGGGCTGCTGATCTCCTTTTTCCTGGTGTGGCGAGCTGTTCGGGGCATCCATTTTGTCCGCAGGAAAAAGTCAGGGGTCTGGTTAGTACAATTTCCATCGATCCTTAGTGTCTCTTATGGACTGCGCAGACGCAGGCGACTACATAGAGAATTTAACGATTATCACAACTGTTCATTGATGCAGTCGGATTTTGACAAAAGTTTTGTTAGTTTTCGGCGGGCTGTTAACAGTGTATTTAACAATAGGGATAGTCGGTCGGGGACACTAATCAAACCTCACGATGTTGAGGGCCAAATGAACGCTTGTTCAAGATATATATTTTAATCACACCTCTTTCTTTCTCGTTGAACGCCTCAGAAATCCGAACAAATGGAATATTGTAGAACTTGTAGTCATTAAAAAAATTTTCAAATAAAAAAAACAAAAATTCTTTTGGTGCGTCTTCATGGTCGCAAGTTCGGAAAGTGAGTGTTGACAACCTGTGGCCAAGCTTCAACGGGTTGACAGGTCGAGCACGACCTCGCTTTCTGCAGTCTAGAGGGACAGACCCACATCTCATCCCAACCACATAACACTAAACCGAGGTTAGAGGAAAAAGTCCATTATTTCGATAGATGAAGTTGTAAGCGCTTTCCGGTGATTCAACGTTGAAACGTTCCCAGATGAGGTATCAGAACAAGAAATATGAGCCTTTCATTGCGCATTGAAGAGTACTCAGTGCCTCGATTTAAGAGGGCCGTGAAGGATTCAACAGTCAGCCAACGTTTCTTGACCAACTCAGCATGCTGTTGCTCAACACGACTCGTGCTCGTCTCTCTCGCTGAGAATCTAAAGGCAAAACATGTCGCTGAAAAAAGTTGAGGTAAAAAGAAGACGTGGGTTTCAACAGGCCTCAATTAGACAGGTGTCCTTCAATACTGCCTGCCCAGCTTCCAACTGACAGAAGCCGAGAAACCTATAAATCCGTCCTCTACCCCCGGCAATTTGTTCTACAATTTATTCACTTTACTACGCAAAGTCGAGCAGGATTGTGTCTGAGTCACTTGATAAGTTCTCCCCCCTTGACCCGGTACTAAATTCCACTGTACTGACATTCATAGGATACATCGCGGACCAGCAAGCCACAGTGCCTGTGAGAGATACAGGTATGATTCCCACCAGATGCACTGTCATTTACACCAGCAGCTTAAAGATGTATATGCAAAGATGCCTCCGCCACAGCAGCCGACTGAGCCGATCTACTGTACAGCCTCTGTGTATTTCCAAGAGAAAGCGCGAATGTTTACGTCGAGGTATGTGAATCTTAGCCTGACCTGTCTCACTGATTCCGACGACGATGCGATCTCAATAGAACCGAGGACAATTGACCACAGTCGCGAGCGCAAAGGCCACCGATCTTAGCCGTCTCTTTGTCCCTAGTCTTGGCCACCAGAGCATGTGAGTCATGGATTATGTCGCCGATCTGCAAGCTAATGAATGACAGTGAACATGGACATCGCACCTGAAGTCCCCGAGGACACAGTACAGTAGCTTTCGAAAACGGCTTCCCCTCGAGACACTGACGGCTTGTTTCTCGGCCCGTACCCGAAACAACACTAGTTCAAATTTGGATTTAATTCCAACCATGCTTGGCTTATAAGACATATTAGATTACCACTAGTACTAATATGCACTAGCGGGGTCAAGGGTACAGGTCGAGAAACAAGCCGTCAGTGTTTCGAGGGGAAGCCGTTTTCGAAATCTACTGTACCCCCGTTAGTGCTCTGCACAAAGCCACTGCCTACACACTATTCATGGCCCCGTCACATCGGAACTCGCAGCAAAGAATCAGATGAAGAAGGAACGGGCTAAAAACAGGTGCGGACATCCGATCGCGATCTTCGCTGCGCAGAATGTTGTGATATGAGGCTGGTGCAGATCAGGAACCAAGCCGCACTGTCGGAATTAGCTCCGAAGTGTCTATACAGACGACCAAGTTGATTTTAAATCAACTTGTGTAATTGTTGTATATATAGGCTCATCTTTCCCTCTGAGATAATAACACAATTGATACCTCTGAACAACAACACAGAAGCTTGAGACGTCCATTCTTCATGACAATGTGAGTGATTGATCGCATCCTCTGCTGCGCCATATCAGTTGTTGCGAATTTTTGTGCTCCAAATCACCAATACCATTACTGATTTTTATGCCACTATAGAAGCACCCGTCACCACTGTGAAAGATACCCGTTGAGAGTCCTATCGCCGGATCGGAGATAAGACCAAGGTGGCACTACGACGCGTGCCCATCGCGTCTTGCGCCTCAACCTCACCGCCTCCACACCACGAACAGCAGAGTGTATGAACCTCTCGCCGTCCCCCTCGCGAGGTCTTATCCCATTACGACTGTACATTTTCCTGTCACAGGTGGTTCGTTACGTGCCTTTGGCTCTCAGAAGTTGCCCGGTGCACCTAGCGCAGCTTATTCAAAGCGACAGCCGGAGCGAACTGGATACAACATCATGTCAACACGGCATGAATGGTGGCTGCATTGATGGAGA